TGTTACCTTTTGTATGATTTTCAGATTTATTTTCACAACAAAGTACATGCTATACAGAATACTCTACATTTTGCTTTTTGTGTGTGGTGGTGATCACTCCAATATAATGACTTTCTTCACTCTATTAACAGCTTCACATACAAAGTCGTGTTCTCATAGTTTCTCAGCTGATCAAATGCAAATTATGAACATATATTTCCAAAAGTGTAAGTTCTTTGAATCTAACACAGAAAGAAATTATTGATGCCATTCAGCCTAGAGAGCCTAAGGATGTATCATCAGTGTTCATTATGAAGCACCCCAGTGAGGCAGGATACGCTTGGATTAACAGAAGGCACAGGATTCATTCATGGTTAAAAAAAACATTTTATTTTACTTATGCAGACATGAGAAGTATGATACATTCTAAATAAAATAGTATCAAAATACAATTTCAGTGGCCAAATTTGAATCCTTCACAAGCACCTTCTACTCTGGTTCTTTGGATTAAACTGTCCTCTATAACTCTGTCTCTTCAGTTTCCAAAAATAAGACTAATATTCATTAATCTATGATATACACCAGCCATTACCTTTCAAAAGAGAGAGATATCATTCTTTTCCCTCCATTTTTCTACCACATATGCCATCCCTGGTAACCCATCATTCTACTCAGTGAAAATGTCACTCTCTCAATATCCTGGCCTTCTGTTTCATGATCATCCAGTACAGCAATCCTTTCCTATGATCATTAACAGAGGTCCACAGTCATATCAACAAATCTAGAGAAGGGGCCATGACCACAGAAAGCACAATAATTTAGATAATACTTTTACATCTATTCTCTGCCACTCCCCATGATCTCAAATTTCTACCAGACTGTATCTTGAAATTAGTGTCCTAGTTCTTCCAGGTTCCATAGATATGAATAAACCCTCCTAATGAAGTAGGTCCTTTCATCTTACAGATCCCTTCACTGAGATCATCATGGTGAGAAATGAAAAGCACGTATGAAAGTATAACATCAACAGGCTTCAAACTCCAGGTTATAAGTCATTAATAAATATAGCCTTTTCAAGACACCTCAAAGAACTGAATAAACATTTTATAAACTGAAGGTAATCAGACCTTTCCACAGATGTCCTTGCTCCATGGACATACATCTCATGAGTTTTAAATAATTTTAACTTCTAATTCTCTGTGGCATTTATCATCTGAGGTTGGTCCATCTTCAAAAGTAATAGACTTAGTTCCCTCTAGTATAAATTTTCTTCTGTGCAGTCCATCGAGAAAATTAGTTCAACAATTCATCACTTTCCTTACATTTCAATACTTCTGTCTGAATATTTCTGTCTGAATTCTTAGATGTATCATGAGGTAATTGCTTAAAGGCCTTGATACATTTGTACGGTTTCCACCTTATATGAATTCTTTTGTGACCACAAAGTTGCACATTTTTGATAAAGCTGATCACACTCATTACATTTGTCAAGTTTCTCTCCAGTAAGACTTCTATGTTCCACAAGGCTTAAACTTTCGATACACATTACCATACATCACATTTGTGTGTTTCTCTCAAAGATGTATATTCTGATATCAAGTGAGGTGTGAACCCTGGTTACCAGCTTTCCCACATCCATTACTTTTCTATGGTTTCTCTCCAGGATGGAGTCTCTGATGTTGAATAAGCCTTGACACTTGCATAAGTTTTGTCTCAATCATTCTATTTGTAAAGTCTCTTTCTGCTATGAATTCTCTGATGATCCCCAAAGCTTGACCTTTGAATAAAAGCCCTGCCACATATATTAGATTTATCACGTTTCTTTTCAGTATGTATTTTCTGATGTCTAGTAAGGTTTGCAAATTGAGTAAAAGCTCTGCCACACTCATTGCATTTGTAAGGTTTCTCTCCAGTATGGATTTTCTCATGTCGATTAAGATGTGAACGCTCCATGAAGGCTTTGCCACACTCATTACATTTGTAAGGTTTCTCTCCAGTATGAGTTCTCTCATGACCCCAAAGGTGGGAATGTTGGATAAAAGCCTTATCACATTTACTACATTTATAAGGTTTTTCTCCTGTATGAATTCTCTGATGTTCCATAAGGCTTGAACTTTGGATAAAAGCCTTGCTACAAACATTACATTTGTGTGGTTTCTCTCCAGTATGGATTTTCTGATGTTTAGTAAAGCTCGAAAATTGGGTAAAAGCTTTGCCACATTCATTACATTTGTAAGGTTTCTCTCCAGTATGGATTTTCTGGTGTTGACTAAGATTTGAACGCTCAGCAAAGGCTCTGCCACATTCATTACATCTGTAAGGTTTCTCTCCAGTATGGATTCTCTTATGCTGAGTAAGGCTGGAACGCTCAGCAAAGGCTTTGTTGCATTCATTACATTTGAAAGGTTTCTCACCACTATGAATTCTCTGATGACTTGCAAGGTTTGACCTTTGACTACAGACCTTGCCACATATATTACATTTGTAAGGTTTCTCTCCAGTAAGCATTCTTTGATAACTTGCAAGGTTTGAATTTTGACTAGGGGCCTTGCCACCTACCTGACATTTATGTGATTTCTCTCCTCTATGGGCTTTCTGATGTCTGGAAAGGTTTGAGCACTGATTAAAAGCTTTGCCACACTCATTACATTTGTAAGGTCTCTGTCCAGAATGAATTCTCTCATGATTCATGAGGTTTGAGCTTTTGCTAAAAGCCTTCCCACACTCATTACACTTGTAAGATTTTTCTCTAGTGTGTCTTTTCCCGTATTGTGCAGGTAACAAAGGATATTTAAAAACCTTCCTATATTTATTACAAATGTTTTTAACACTAGAAGGAATTATTTGCAGCGGTGAAACTGAGGAACGATTGTTGATGGAATTCTCAACTTGAGTGCATTCATAAACTTTCTCCTCAGTTTGAAATCTCTGCAGTTCAGCCAGGTGTGTCTGCAAACTTAATCCAGTTCTATTTTCCAAACACCTTATATACTCGTTTCCAGCATCACTTATGTTATTTTTCAGTTTTAACAAATTCCTTATAAATGGCTTGTCATGCATGAAATATTCGTATGTATTATTTCTTACCGAAACACCATGCTTTTGAGGAAAATTAATTGAGGATATATTATGTTGTTGATCTATTTTACAAGTGAGATTTTTGTTATAAGTCAAAGGCACTCCTTTGTCATTTCTTGCATCATATCCCCATTCACTCTCATGCTCATGCATATTTTCCAAGACTTCCTTGAGGTCAAAATCCTTGATGCCATCCCTTTCATTTCTTTCTAATATCACTAGATGGTATAATTCTCCTTTATTAATGTCCTCTCTTGGTGATAATTCCTTTATTGCAAATCCAGCACAAAGGCTTCCTATTAAATAGAGTTGGAAGAGAAATATTTTATATTCAACTACATAATTACACAGAAAAATAATACTTATAACGAACATAGTTTGTAGTTTCTCAAGCGTGGTCCTCAAACACTATTGTGATATACAGAATTTTTTTATTTTTCTAATTTTTTCCATATTAATAGTTTCCCTGACTTTTGATAATATATTTTCAAAGCACATATTATATTCTATACATATTGTTTGGCCATGTAAGTGGATAATTAAATGATACTCCATAGTTAGGGAGTTCATCTACCTACTGGCTACTATATAACTGCAGACATGAAATTATAATTGAGATTTGATATTTTCTTCCCGAATTTTTAATCTTTATAATAATGTGTATTTACTAATAATGTATGTTTAATAATGTGTGGGTACATGATGCAAGAAAAAAGATACTAAAAAAAAAATCTGTGTATCATAATAATAATACAACATTTTAGTAACACACATTAAATCTAGCAGGTAAGTTAATCTAAGTAAGCAGAGTTATACAAAATAATAGTTTCTGGAATTCTAAAGAATTCTTCCTTAAGGACTACAGAAAGAATTTACATTCCGGAAAGAGTACACAATAAGAAAAAGGAAAAATACATTCAGAATCAGTGAATTTTGAAATATCAGGTTCAGGTAAACACACATTTTTATAAAGATTAAAAATTAGGGAAGATTGTGGGGCTGGCCCAGTGGCAGCAGTTAAGTGTGCACGTTCTGCTTCAGTGGCCCGGGGTTCGCAGGTTCAGATCCCGCACACTGACACACTGCTTATCAAGCCATACTGTGGCAGCGTCCCATATAAAGTAGAGGAAGATGGGCACGGATGTTAGCCAGGGCCAATCTTCCTCAGCGAAAAAGAGGAGGATTGGCATTGGATGTTAGCTCAGGGCTGATCTTCCTCACCAAAAAAAAAAAAAAAATTAGGGAAGATTGTCTGAAATCTCAATTATGATTTCATGCCTGCAGTTACATAACAGTCAATAGAGAGACCAACTCTCTATGGAATATTACTTAATTATCCAGTTACAAGGTGAAAAATATGGATAGGATATAGGATGTGCTTTCAAAATTTATCTAAGGTCAGAGAAAACATTAATATGGGAAAATTACAAAAAGAAAACATATAACGCAGGCCAAGGTCAATGTCATAATAAACATGACAGGAAGTTGACATATCTTATTAACTTTTTCAGTCCTTACTGCATGCATGTAATATTTTAAACCCTCTAAAAGCATTAACTTATTTAATTATTCTTGAGGTAAACCATTACAATTTTTCGTATAAAAATGAAGGGTCCATGAGGTGTATATATCTATCCCTAACTCACCCAGAAAGCAAATTCAAGAGCCAGGATTTGAACCTGGGTGTGCAGACTAAGAAGGGATGTTCATATGCATTAAGTACCAGTGCCCATCCAGGCATACAGATCACAACAGGTCACAGCAAATACCAGGAGCTTAAAAAGAAATGTTTCAAGGGAGACACAGGACCTGAGTTGTGTCATCTGTACTGTGACTGTCCCTCCGTTCCCAGATGACAGCATGAGTCATCATGTCCTGTACAGGTTGGTGCAGACAGTGACTACAGCGCGTTGCTGTCCTGAACAAGCTGTCGTGTGTAAGAGTGGGTGTCTTTCCTTATGCAGTGTATGCAGTGTTGGGAGGAGCCGGCCCCGTGGATACTGGGGTGCCTAGGTGCTCAAAATCAATATACACGGAGGTACCAGTATAGTTCATTTAGATCAATGAAAGGTCTAAGGAAAGGCCAGGACTGAGATTTAGAACAGCAAGAGTGAGGAAAGGGAGTATAAGTTTTTTAGTCCCAATGTCCTTGCCTGTTATATAAAAATAACAGAATCTTCATGGAATTTTTTAATTATTTGAAATCATATTCTTAGATTTTTTAACATTACCATCCCAGACACATAAGAGACATCAGGTGAGAACTGCTCTTACTATGTTTATCAGTGTGTGTATATATATATAGTTATTCTTATTACTAACCAATAGAAATTAATATGCACTTATCCAAAAGTAATGAATTCTGACTTCACAAACATCATCAGAAAGCAGTACCCTTAAGGCACATTACTACAAGACCTAGAGCACAGAATGGTTGGTACAGAGGGCAGTGTTGGAAGCAGCATTTAAGTACAGAAACAATTTTGGGCAGTGCCATCATAATCCAGGGCAGAGGTCTATGTGCAGAGATGTGGTCAGCAACGTAAGTATCCAATATTACCCAGAACAACAGGACAGCATGTGATGTGTGTCAACAAGGACGAGGTGACTTTTTATGGAATTCAGTTGAAAAGAACGGCAGGGAACAAAGCTGTGTGTTAATTCATGTGTTAACTGAAATATATAATTCCAAGAACTTAAGACATTGTCTGGGAAACATGAGTGTCAGAAACAGTAGTAATGAGGAAACCATGGAGTGAAAAACATTGCCTAAATTTTCTATTAAGTAAAATGAGATATTTAAACATTAGGTCAGTATACCAAGATGTGCATGATGAATCTAGACGGAGAGAATAATTATTAGAATAAATAATTTGTAGCAAAAGAGTCAATGAAATTAAAATAAAATTCAAGTTATTTGTAGAAAACTATATATATATATGGAAAAAGCAATGGATCTTATATAAAAAACTATGGCAAGTCAATTGAGTGGTATTTCTGTGACTAAGATAGTAACTTAATAAAAGTATGCTCTCAAGATATCAAAAATTCTCAGTTTAAAAAATGTCATAGATTTAATTGAGGAAAATGTGTGTTCAAACATTTGGATACCATTACAAACCAATGAAAATGACCAAAATCCAGAACACGGACAACACCAAATATTAGCAAGGATGTGGACCAACAGAAACTCTCATTTACTGCTGGTAGGAATGAAAAATGGTACAGCCACTTTGGAAGATAGTTTGCAGTTTCTTACAAAACTAAACATACTCAAATATGATATAGTAATTATGCTCTTGGTATTTACACAAGTGAGTTGAAAACTTATGTCCATGCAAAAACCTGCATACAAAATAAAACTAGCCCAAAATTTGTATGGCACCACAAAAAGACCCTGAAATAGCCAAAGCAATCTTGAGAAAGAAGAACAAACCTAGAGGCATCATGTTTCCTGATTTCAAACTGTATTACAAAGCTATAGTAATTAAAACAGTATGAGACTGGCATAAAAACAGACACATAGATCCAAGGAACAGAACAGAGAGCCCAGAAATAAACCCATGCATATATGGCCAATTAATTACAACAAAGGAGACAAGAATATACAATGGGGAAAGGACAGTCTCTTAAATAAATGATGTTGGGAAAACTGGACTGCTACATACAAAAGAATGAAACTGGACCACTATTTTACACCATACACAAAAATTAACTCAAAATGGATTAAAGACTTGACGTATGACCTAGAACCATGAAACTCCCAAAAGAAAACATAGGCAGTAAGCTCCCTGATATAGATCTTGGTAATGATTTTTTGAATCTGACACCAAAAGTAAAAGCAAAAATAAACAAGAGGGACTGTATCAAACTAAAAAGCTCTGTAAAGCAAAGGAAATCAACAGCAAAATGAAAAGGCAACTTACTAAATGGGAGAAAATATTTGCAGATCATATATATGATAAGGGGCTAATATCCAAAATATACAAAGAACTCATACAACTTAACAGCAAAAACACGAAGAATCCAATTAAAAAATGGGCAGAAGATCTGAATAGATATTTTTCCAAAGAAGATACAGATGGCCAACAGATAGATGAAAAGATGCTCAAAATCATGAATCATCAGGGAAATGCAAATCAAAACCAGAGTGAAATATCACCTCACACCTGTCAGAATGTCTATCATCAAAAAGACAAGACATAACAAGTGCTGGCAAGGATTTGGAGAAAAAGGGAACTCTTGTGCACTGCTGGTGGGAGTATAAACTGGTGCAACCACTGTGGAAACAGTATGGAGGTTCCCCAAAAAATTAAAAATAGAACTACCATACAATCCAGCAATTCCATTTATCTGAAAAAAACAAAAACACTAACTCAAAAAGATGCATGCATCCTCATGTTCATTGCAGCACTATTTACAATAGCCGAGATATGGAAATAACCTCAGTATCCACTGATGGATGAATGGATAAAAGAAATTGTGGTGTGTGTGTGTGTGTGTGTGTGTGTATATATATATATATATACACAAAATATATATACACACACAATAAAGTATTATTAAGCCAGGAAAAAGAATAAAATTTTGCCAATTGTGACAACATGGATTGAACTCGAGGGCATTAAGCTAAGTGAAATAAGTCAGACAGAGAAAGACAAATACTGTATGATCTCCTTACATACAGAATCTAAAAAAAAAACAACAAGCTCACAGACATAGAGAACACAATGATGGTTGCCAGAGGTAGGGGGAGGGTTGGGTGCAGGGGGTCAAGAGGTAAAAATATATATATATAAAAAAACACATGCACGCGCGCGCGTGCACACACACGTATATACAAAAACAGTGCTTTCCATATACTAGGAATGCACTGATTTGAGATATCAATAAACTGTGCTGTATTTAAAGTAAAGTGCACCTAATTTTGGATTTTCCCCTTGGAGTTATCCACATCATGACTTCTTTGCAATTAATGCACGGGGACCCAGCCCTAAGAAGCCAGGATGGCCCAGGAAAGAGAGAGACTTTAGCTCCACTTTATTAGACAGATATTACTAGGAAAAGGGTCAACTAAGACACTATCATCTTCCCAAAGGGGTAAGTTAACAGAAGGAGGCTTCCTTGTCAAATGAGGTGACTCTGGGTCCTCTAGACCAAGGTTTCTGGTAGCGAAACATTATACATTGGTCCCACCCATAGCATGTACAACACCACCAAGAGAGAACTCTAAGGTAAAGATGGACTTTGGGTGATAATGTTGTGTCAGTGTAGGTTCATTAATGTTAACAAATGTAGCACACTGCTGTGGGATGTTGATAATAGGGGAGGGTCTGCACTTGTGGGTGTAGGAAATACACGGGAAATCTCTGTACCTTTGGCCCAACTTTTCTGCCAACCTAAAACTTCTAGAAAAAATAGTCTATTAAAAAAAGTGTATGTTAATAGTAGGTACTGAGTAATGTAAAACAGAATTAAAAAGAATAACTAAGACTCTTCAAAACATTTTGGGGAAACTAATGCTAAGTCATAAACACTTAAGAAAGAAATCTTGTAAAATATAAAAAACAATATTCACTCCATGACCCCACATCACCAAACTGTAGATATAAAGCAAAGAACACTAAGGGTATCATAAAAAATATGGAAGTGATGATTAAATAAATAAAAACAAGGTCATTCAGAAATAACAATGAAATTTAGAAGATAAAAGTATCAGTGGCTTAAGCAAAACCAATTACAATAGACTTAAAAAATCTTGGCATAGGGGCTGGCCCAGTGGCATGGTGGTTAAGTTCACACACTCCGCTTTGGCAGCCCAGGGTTCGCAGGTTCAGATCCCAGGGCAGACCTATGCACCGCTCATCAAGCCATGCTGTGGCAGTGTCCCACATACAAAAGAGAGGAAGACTGGCACAGATGTTAGCTGAGGGACAATCTTCCTCAAGCAAAAAGAGGAAGATTGCCAACAGATGTTAGCTTAGGGCCAATCTTCCACACCAAAAAAAAAAATTAAAATAAATTAAAAACCAAATAAAAATGTAGGCATCATTCCACTTTATAAACTACTTCAATAAGATGTGTCAAAATTGTATTTTTTGAGGGTGAATGAACAAGAGCAGCACACATATGGGATAAACAATGTGGCATAAACGGTAGTTTAGTCAACAGTCTCCTAGATATTAGGTTGTGAACTTGGACAGTGTTCACCTTAGAACAGGTTCCTACAGCTTTTATTGCTGGCTCAAAGGTGATGATCATATTATGTCTGCACTGTGGGAGACACTGTTTAACTCCACAAAAACCAGAAGGACAACTAGAGGCACTTAGGCTCTCCTGATACTGTCTACATGTCAGCATCCTGGGACATGCGGACCACTCTTCCCAGGGCCTTCAAGAGGCACTTCTGTATGTAGCAGGATAATATTGTAACATATTAGTGAGTAAACGCCCTCCATGGGAGAGTCCACCAGAAGTTGTCCATCACCTAAAGGTGGGTTATCACAGCAGAAAAAGAGGATGAAACTTTAGACATTTGGAATGTGTATTTCAAAAGCAAGTTTCAGAGGCAACATCTTAGAGAAGAAAAAGAAATCAGGAAGACTAACGACTTTCTATGTTCCCTGACAGGGAGAGCAGGAAGAGGTAGAAAAATACAACATATGGGAGTAAAATAAGACAGCCTGACTTTGGGGAGTTCTTGAGAAGGGGGTGTGCTATGCCTACAGGCTGTGGGGTGAGGGCCTGAAAGACTGAGATACACTCCCATGTAGCAACGGGGACCAAAGAGAGGATCTCAGTGTCTAGTCTTTACATTACTGCTCGGTAACAGTGTCACACAATCTCAAATTCCACTCCTCTTTACACACGTGGCAAAAAGAGACCTGAAGAGATGGCTGAGGGTCCTGAACAGGCAGACAGGGCTTGACACAGTCCAGTGAGTTTCATGGGACCCCA